GGGGACTGAAGGGAGCCCTGTGCACCGAGATGCCCACTAGAAGAACCCGACATATATGAGCCCTGAGCTGATGGTGCCTGAGTTGAACTCTAAGCTAGAAGGGTACTGAGAAACGAGTGACCCTGATGTGAACTGTGAGAACCATGGCCAGATGACCGACCATGGTGACCTGAACGGGCTGGCTGAGCATGCCTGAATGAACGGCCTCTGCCGTGCTGAAACTGGCCTCCCGAAGAAGAACCCCCAAAACTACCAGATCCCCAAGGCCTATTGGCCTCCCTCTCCTCTCGCTCCTGGCGATGAAATGACTCAATCTCTCTAGCAATGTCAACCACCTCCTCATAAGAAGCACCAGATACTCTCTCTCTGGTCAGAAAATCCGTAGCTGATAGTTGAGGCCATCAACGAACCTCCTGATCCTTGCCCTATCCGTGGGAACTAGCCAAATAGCATGACGGGCCAACTCAAAGAACCTCATCTCATACTGCATCACGAAAATGCCCTCCTGATGAAGCTGCTTGAACTCCTTATGCAGCTCCTCCCTGCGGGAATGCGGTACATACTTCTCTAGGAAAAGAATGGAGAACTGATGCCAGGTAAGGGGCGGTGCACCAACAGGCCTACGCCTCTCATAAGCCTCCCACTAGGTGAAGGAAGCACCAGAAAATTGAAATGTGGTAAATGAGACCCCATTAGTCTCTAGAATACCCGCTGTACGCAACATCCTCTGACACTTATCCAAGAAACCCTGAGCATCCTCGCCCTCTGTACCACTGAAAGTTGGAGGCTGAAGTCTACCAAACCTCTCCAATCGACACTGCTCGTCATCAAGCATAATTGGAACCACAAAATCCAGAACAGGTGCAACCGGTTGGGCTGGTGGTGCCTCCGGTGACTGGAGTCCCTGAACAACCTGCTCGGGTGTACGGGCGGTAGGAGTCTGAGTGCCTCCCCCAGCCTGAGAAGTAGATGCTGTAGTAGAAACTGTGACTGCCTGAGCAAGACTGGTGCACACAGTCAGAATCTGAGCCAAAGTCTCCTGGAGACCCGAAATAACAATAGGCACAGTCGGTGCCTAAGTTAGTACTGCTGGAGCATCCTTAGCTTGAGCCTGATCATGAACCGGGGCAGCGTGTGGATCTACAAGTGTTTCCCTAGCTATTGTGCGAGCCACACCCCTCCCCTACCACGGCTTCGACCGCGTCCTCGACCTCTACCGGCCCCAACTGGTGGTACTGGTGGTCGTCCATCCTGACCGGTAGCACGTGTCCTTACCATCTATGAGAGAATAGAATAACAGAAGTTTAGTACTCGGATCAACAGATTCGCACGACAAGAATCCAAGAATATGAAGTTTTTCCTAAAGGTTCTGCAGCCTCCCGAGGATAAATACAGACGTCTTCGTACCGATCCGTGAGACTCTGCTAAACATGCTCATGACCCGTGAGACCTATCTAACTTAGGCTCTGATACCAACATGTCATAACCCAAAATCTAACCACGTCGAGATGCCGCCTATCATGATACTAGGCCAACCAATTATTACCCATTCATTCCGTTTTTCAAATAAGACTTAAGGAAAATCATATTTTTAAACAGAAATCCAATAATATAAAAGTAGAACTCAAATCCAGCGGAAAGAAATACATAATCCCGACCTTGGGTGTCACTAAATCATGAGCAACATACTACAACTGTCTAAAATACATAAGATTACATAGTCTGAGAATGTCTGAATAAAAGTACTATAAGGAAGATAAGGAGGGAGAAGGCGGAACTGCGGTCACCAAGCAGCTACCTCGCAAATCTCCACAGAAAGTCCTCAACTGGCAAGATCGGCAATCGCTACCGTGCCTCGAGATATCTGGATCTGCACACAGGGGTGCAGAGGGCAATGTGAGTACACCAACTCAGTATGGACTAATGGTAGTGACAAACCAAACCTCATACAGGTTGCAACAGATAATTTAACGGAAAAGTAGACATGCTTACAGTTCATGTAGTTTCTAAGAAATAACTAATCATAGTATGATCAATACATAGTATAAAGCTGAGGAAACTATAAGTACCAATGCACAGATAGCATGATCAATGTCATGTATGATACCTCCACTCATAGTGCTCAACCACTCGGTAATGTATATGGCCCACTCAGCCCAGGGAAGATCCATCCCGGAATATACGTACATCATAGACTATGAGTCGCCCAGTACCGAGGAAAACAGGCCAATCCAGCATCATGGAGAAGATCCATCTCCATACCAATACTTCGGACAAGATCCATGTCCAGGGAAGATCCATCCCTCAATATCATCAACTACTGCACTCATTGGGGTGTAAAGACTCCGCTGAGTCCAAGCGCTATTTTAATGCTAGCGAAGGCATGATCAATATCTTGTTGCAGCGTGAAGCCCGATCTCGTACTGTCAATCAATATCAGGCTCTCGGCCTCACTCAGTCAATACTCTCCAGTCTCACACACATGGGCTAAAATGTCATGATACAAGCCTGAACAATGATATGATATGTCGAATAGAAATAATCGAGACTGAGGCATGATATAATATGCATGAACATGACTGAGTATAGAATATAATGAAGCTAATGACATGACAATAAGAAACGACCTCTCGAGTATCAACAATGTTGGCGTGAAGCCCTAACATGATATTTAGCATGATTTGCAGCTTATCAACTTAATCACATAATTACAACACAAATATCAGCAAGAAAGAGTCACTAAGCGGTGCCATGGAATGATCCAGGCCGCATTTCTCACGGTGCACGCCCACACGCCCGTCACTTGGCATTGTGTCACCTCAATAGTAATCATAGAACACACAGTTCGGGGTTTTGAACCCTCAGAACCAAGTTTGGAAGCATTACTTACCTCAAGCCAAGACAAACTCTAGCCCTCAACGCCTTTTCCTCTCGATTAGGCTTCCAAATGCCCTAAATCTAACCAAAATCAGTATATAACCATCAAAATATGCTAAGGGAACAAAACCCACTCGAAAATAATCAAATTACATCAAAATTCCGAAATTGGTCAATACCCGACCCCAACCCACGCCTCAGATTACGATAAGAATCACAAAACTAGAATCGTCACATTCTCACGTGTTCATATATACCAAGAATACCAAAATCCGACCACAAATGACCCCTCAAATCCCTAGATTAAGGTCTCCAATTTCCTAGCCCTAATTCCCAAATTTTAGGCTTCAAATCCCCCAAATTTCATGTTTAATTAGGTAGAAATCATAATAGGATCGAGTATTAAGTCCAAAAATTCCTATCTCCAAGAAGTTCTCTTTGATTCCGTCTTCAATCTCCCTCAAGAAGCTCCCAAACCGAGTCACAAATGGTGAACTTAGGCCAAAAATCGCAAAAATGGCCTTTTAAACATTCCGCCCAACTATTAAAATTACTTAATCGCGATCGCGAGAAATCCATTTCGTTGGCCCACAATTTACCTTATGCGATCGCGTAAATCCCCTTGCATTCGCGAATCTTAATCGCCCAATGCTAAGCGATCGCGTCTTGCCTCACGCGATCGCATAGAGCAATTGCCTCCGCTGCACACCAACTCACCTTCTTCTACGCGAATGCGACCTTGGCCACGCGTTCGCGAAGCACAACTTCTCAAACATCCACGATAATGACCTCCTATATGCAAATTCATAGAACAACTTCACCCCAACCCCGAATTATCCTACACGATCGCGATCCCCTCCACGCGATCGTGAAGAGCAAATACCTGCAACAAAATACCAGCAAAAACTGCTACTCCTCAAACCCAAAAAATGTCCCGTTGGTCATCCAAAACACACTTGAGGCCCTCGGGACCTTAACCAGGAATGCTAACATCTCCCATAACATCATTGAAACTTGTTCCAATCTTCGGAATACTCAAAACAATATCAAAACACCAAATTAACATCGGATTCAAGCCTAAGAATTCCAAAAACTTCCAAATTCCGCTTTCGATCAAAAAGTCTATCAAACCTCGCCCGAATGACCTGAAATTTTGCACACACGTCATAAATGACACAATGGACCTACTCCAACTTTTGGAATTCCATTCCGACCCCTACATCAAAATCTCACCTATCAACCGGAAAATGCCAAAATTCCAATTTCACTAATTCAAGCCTAAACCTACTCCGGACCTCCAAAACACCTTCCGATCATGCTCCTAAGTCCCAAATCACCTACCGAAGCTATCCAAACCATCGAAATTCACATCCGAGCTCATTTTTACATAAGTCAATATCCGATTGACTTTTCTAACTTAAGCTTACTCAAAAGAGACTAAGTATCTCAAATCTTACCAAAACCTCTACGAACCCGAACCAATTAGCCCGATAACATATAATACAACTGAATAAGACAATAAGAAGCATAATAGGGGACACAGAGCGGTAACTAGCCGGGTTGTTACAATGAATTGCCCTATCCACATGCAATTGCTGCTATTAATAAGAGATATTTGCAGAAATCTGATTACTGCTCAAAATGGTATTCAAAGGAAACATGGTTCAAAACATATGAAGGACATGTGAATACCGTGGGAGATCAAAAATCATGGGATATTCCACAAAATGTAGAATCTGAGATAGATCACAAAGCCTCCCGATGTAGAGATTTTACAAGGAAGAAGACAAAGAAGAGGCATATCCCTACGATTGCATCAGTACCATTGAAGTCTACCAAATGCAGTCGATGTAAACAAATTGGGCATAATAGAACAACTTGCTTGTCTTCTCCAGCACCTCATCCATATTCCAAGAAACACACTGAAAAATACTCCAACGTTCAATAATCCTTGGTTTGAATTTAGACTTTCATTATTGTATGACATATCTGAAATGTGATTTTTTTTCATAGGAAAAAAAGGAAGCTCTTGGACTATTTTATATATTGCTAAAGTACAAACCACTCATTTTTGTTGCGCAGGCTTACAGGTTTGGTTGCATTTTAAAAAAGTAAGCAATGACTTTAGCGAGAAAATTCTTCAAGCTTACAGTATGTGAAATACATATCCTTAACAAACACACACACACATACACACACACACACACACATACACTGACCGCTCATAAAAGAAATACATGTACAAACAAAAACTTCATCATCTCTAGGCTGAATTTATAGAAAATGAACTTAATAACTTTAGCATATTCTGTAATGAATATGCTGAAGTAAACAAAAAAGCACAGCATAAAAACATGAAAAAAGGATTACAAAAACTAAGCACCATCACCATCATCAGAACAGTACTCCTCAATTTCTCAAAATATCTCATCATCATCAGTACCAGAGATAACTATAGGGTACTCGGGCAAAAGACCACAGAGTCCAATGAGATCAATCTTCAACTTGTTGAATTCATCACGCAACTGACTTTGTTCAACTATTACTCTGTCCATAAGAGAAAGAAGAGTCTTCAGGTTGTTTTGTAGCTTGGCATAGTTGTCCCAGATAGGAAACTTAAAACTATCAAACTGTTGCACGACCTTGTCAAACGAGGTTGAATAACCTCCACAACTACATTCCAGGTTAAGCCTGTTCTAGAATGATTCATTGGCAAAAAACTGTGGTCTGATTCTCTCCCAATCAGCCTTTATTTGATCCCACAAAAGCATAAGATTAGACATCGATACGTTATTATACCACTTACACTTTAAGCTCTTCCATTTCTGCATAATTTCATCCATTGTAGGCTTCCTACTTCTGCTTGCACCAGACATTCTTTATTTAAAAAAAGCTAAAAGACTAAGGATGAATATAAATTTAAAGAAATATGATAATCTATGAATGACTATGAAATTTTCAAGTGAAGAGATTGTTAATATAGCTAAATAGTGCACCTAATCAATTTAATATCTTTAAATGTAAAAGTAACTTTTCAGGTCTTTTTACTGTTTTACGTTCAAAGAAATTGAATGAAAAAAATAAGTAGGTGGTAAAACAAGTAGGTGGTAAATGCAAAAAGAAATGTAACTTCAGCCCTAATCATCCCACAATTTTTCTATAGTAAAAAAATAACTTCAGCCTAAAAAATTTTCACATAATCAATGTAAGTGCAAAAGTAACTTTTTGGGTCATTTACTATATGGCCAAACAAATTTAAATGAAAGATGAAGTAGGTGATAAAAGACAAAAAGTAGCTAGTAAATGCAAAAAAGATAAGTATCAAGTTAAAAAAAATACCAAAACATGCTGAAGTTTTTGTCATGAGCTTTTTCAAAAACTTCAGGAGAAGGTGCTGAAGTTATTTAGTTCATTTCTAAAAATTTCAGCACATAATAAGCTGAAGTTTTTTGTCTTGGATTCAATAGTTTTGTCGTAAAGCTTTTTCAAAAACTTCAGCAAAAAGGTGCTGAAGTTATTTAGCTCATTTATAAAAACTTTAGCACTTAATAAGCAGAAGTTTTTTGTCGTGGATTCAATAGTTTTGTCGTAAAGCTTTTTCGAAAACTTCAGCAGAAGGTGCTGAAGTTATTTAGTTCATTTCTAAAAACTTCAACACACAATAAGCTGAAGCTTTTGTCCTGGATTCAATAGTTTTGTCGTAAAGCTTTTTCAAAAAACTTCAGCAGAAGGTGCTGAAGTTATTTAGTTCATTTCTAAAAACTTCAACTTATTAAAGCTGAAGTTTTTGTCCTAGATTCAATAGTTTTGTCGTAAAACTTTTTCCAAAAACTTCAGCAAAAGATGCTGAGGTTATTTAGTTCATTTCTAAAACTTCAGCACTCGATAAGCTGAAGTTTTTGTCCTGCATTCAATAGTTTTGTTGTAAAGCTTTTTCAAAAAACTTCAGCAGAAGGTGCTGTAGTTATTTAGTTCATTTCTAAAAACTTCAACACTTCATAAGTTGAAGTTTTTGTCCTACAATCGACACTTTTGTTATGAGTTTTAACCAAAATTTCAGCCTAAAAAGCAGAAGTTATTTACTTCATGCTGAAGTTTAGCATGCTGAATTTCAACAAAATATACTTAAAATTCATGAAAAAAGACACAAACATATTTGATTCAACCCAAGTCAACTAAAAACCTAATTAATGCAAATAGAACAAAAATTTAAAAGACAGACATCACATAATCACAAATTAATGTATATTTACAAAATTCAATTTTGTTTTCACTTACATCCTTAAAAAAATTGGTTTTTTGTTTACAAGTTATTCTCTATTCAAAAAATTCACAAAGTTCCTTCATATTCTCCATAGTCATGTCCTAGTTGCTCTTCTGGAGTTTCATAACCGCTATCTTGTTACCACATTCCATGAGTCCAAAGATTTGTAGCCAATTCTCTGCTGAATACCAATGCATGTCTTTGGTTATAAAACTCTAAAATTGGCTTCCAAGTGAACTTTACTACTATGATTTTTTAGGAACTGCCATCTTATTTCAAAAGAAAAAACAAGAAAATGTTGGCAAAGACATTCTTACTGGTGTGCAACTGGGAATTCGTGAGAAGCAAAGATAATAAAGAAGTCCAAAATACTTCATATGTGACGGAGAGTGACCACATTTTGTGGTGCATCAAAAACTCGAGCTCCAGGACATTTTGCTCTTTTTACTAGTTGATAAATCTAACTTTTATGTCGTACCCAACACCAAGAGTAAAATGTGCCAGAGCTCGAGTTTGTGATTCACCACAAACTATGGCCACTCTCCTTCACATATGAAGTATTTGGACTTTTCCTTTATTATCTTTGCTTCCCATGAACTCCCTGCTACACCCAATAAGCATGTCTTTTCCAACATTTTCTTGTTTTTCTTTGAATATAAATTTAAAGAAATATGATAGAAGTCTATGGATAATTATGAAATTTTCATGTGAAGAGATTGTTAATATAGCCAAAGAGTGCACCTAATCAATTTAATATCTATAAATGTAAAAGTAACTTTTCAGGTCTGCTAACTATTTTACGTTCAGAGAAATTGAATGTAACAAGATAAGTAGGTGATAAAATATAATGACCCGGCCGGTCGTTTTAAGAATTAACGCCCCGATACCCTATTAACTTTATTCCCCGTGTTTGTTTCTACTATTGTGAGTTGTTGGAAGGGTTTATTTGGAATTTCGGAGAGTTTTGGAACACTTAGTCCCTATATGAGAGTTTAAGTCTTACAATTTGCACTGTAATCAGAGTAGTGTGAAGACGGCCTCGGAATGAAATCCATTGGTTCAGTTAGTTCCGTTGGGTGATTTTGGGCTTAGGGGCGTGTTCGGATTGTATTTTGGAGGCCCATAGCTTATTTAGGCTTGAAATGCCGAGAGTTGAATTTTTGAAGTTTCCGGTTCGATAGTGAGATTTTGATCTTGGGGTCGAAATAGAATTTTGAGAGTTGGAGTAGTTTTGTAGTGTAGAATGTGACGTGTATGAAAAATTTCAGGTCATTCGGACGAGGTTTGATAGACTTTTTGATCGAAAGCGGAATTTGAAAGTTTTGGGAATCCTTAGGCTTGGATTGGAGAGTGATTTGTGGTTTTAGCATTGTTTGATGTGATTCGAGAGTTGGAATAAGTTCGTAGGATATTTTAGGATTGGTTGGCAGGATTGGTTGAGGTCTTGGGGGCCTCGGGTGAGTTTCGGGTGCTTAACGAAAGTTGAATTGGACTTAGGAGAAATCTGAAGTTGGCTAAACCTGTCATAACCGCACCTGCATGTGAGGGACTGCAGGTGCGGCACCGCAGAAGCGGCAAGGTGACCATAGAAGCAGAACTTGGCCCAGGCTCCAGAAGCCGCAGGTGCGAGAAGTGGAAGGCACCTGCGAGACCGCATGTGCGGTAATAGTGTCGTAAGTGCGGAAATTGCTGTTTAATGAAAAGTCGCAGGTGTGACTTGGTCTTCGCAGAATGGGGACCGTAGGTGCGGTCCCAGAGCCACAGATGTGGTTTCACTAGTCAGAAAAAGGGTAGAAACAAGGGTTTAGTCTCAAAACATTATAAATTGATTTGGGAGCTCGAGATTGGCGATTTTGGAAGAGAATTTCACCTGGGTGTTTTGGGTAAGTAATTCTTACTCGGTTTTAATTAATTTCCACGAATCTATGCTTTAATTCATGCTTTAAATTCAAATTTGGAGGAAAAATTGAAAAAGTTCTTAGGCCTAATTTTGGAGTTTTGATCAAGATTTTGATGTCGGATTGGAGTAATTTCTGTATATATGAACTCGTGAGCGTGTGAGGATTCCAAATTTCTAAATAATACCCGGTTCCTAGGCGTGGGCCCGGGGGCTTTTTTGGCGATATTTCCTAATTTCACGCATTAGCTTCGAATTAATTAGTTGAATTAGTCACTTGAAGTTATGTTTACATTATGCAATTACTTTGAATAGATTTGGGCTATTTGGAGTCGGATACTCATAGCAAAAATGTGGTATTTAGTTGATTGAGCTGGTTCGAGGTAAGTGGCTTGCCTAACCCTGTGTGGGGGAACTTCCCTTAGGATTTGGTATTGTTGATATTTGAAATGCCTTGTACGTGAGGTGATAAGTGCGTACTTGTGCTATTGGTGTAAAATCCTATTTTCATTAAGTAACTATAACTGCGTTTCCTTTCCTGTGTATACTACTTGCAATTTAAGCCTACTGTTAGCTTAGGGAAGCATGTCTAATTGACTTAATTGCTTTACTTGCTCAAACTGCCTTATTTGGATTCTGGGCAGCATGCTAGGCTAGAAATACCTATTTTACCTGGTATGAAATTTGGATTGAACTGAATATTCTTCCTGTTGCTGCTATATGTTTACTTTGGGACTACGGGACGGTATCCCGGGAGATCCCCCTGGCATGTTTACTTTAGGACTATGGATTTGTATTCTGGTACATCCCCCTGCACATTTATATTGGAACAACGGGATTGCACACGGTAGATTCCCCCAGTACTGGGCATTTACAATTGGGACTATAGATCAGGATTCCGATAGATCCCCGCGCACTATGAGTTGGACTACGGGACGAAACCCGGGAGATCAACTTGATATTTACATTTGGGGACTGCAGGACGATATCCTGGGAGATCCCCGGTTGTTATCTCTGTATTGAGCTGTATTCCCTGTGTGATTATTTTGTCTCTATTGTAGTTATCACACCTCCTTTTTTACTACACCTCCGTAAAGGGGTATATAAGAGAGTTTTTTCCAACTTAAAGTGACAATCGAAATGAGATTATTTTTATTAAAAATTCAGAGTCGCCACTTGGGATAATTTTATGGTGTCCCAAGTCACCGATTCAAATCCCGAATCGAGGAAAATATTGACTCTGTTTTACAGTCTACAAACACAGAAATCCGGATAAGGAATTCTGTTAACTCGGGAAAAGGTGTTAGGCATTCCCGGATTCCGTGGTTTTAGCACGGTCGCTCAACTGTTATAATTAGCCTATTATCTTATTTAATATATGTTTTAGCCTATGGTGCAATTTTAGCTTTATAACCGGTTTTAGCCATTTTTAAAGAAAGATTTGCAACGTCATTTAAAATATGTCTTGAACCACGTCACATAAATGCACCGCAGTCCACAACACATTTTATATAACATTGTTGAGTTTTGTATTTGGGTCACATAAATGCGCACCCGAGTTTAGGAAAGTAATTTTAAAATAGCACGCCTAAAGCAACTACGCACTTTCAACTTTGCGAGGGCCATGGAAAATTCAACTAAATAGCACGCCTCAATTTCTAAGGATTCAAGTATTAATTAAGCGAGGCCATGCATTTTGAGATTTTATTTGGCATGGCATGCCTCAAATTATTCCCAGAGATTATACTCAACTAAAGCAAACTATGAATGTTCCTGATTATTTTTCCCTAAATTTGAGATTATTGCCAGGCCATTGAATTATGGAAGTTGTTGTAGATAGAGTGCTAGATTTTGTCCTATAATCCGAAGCTCACCAAATCTGAACAGTTTGCATTCTGCCACATGAAAAAACATTTTCACGCAACTAACTTCAATCAATTACTCCACGTTCCCAAAGTCTTACATGGTCTCACGTATGGGCTGACCAAATCAAAGGCCCCTACTCTAATATAATTCATGGTCACATGTATGCCCAAAACAAATGGAGAAGAGAATCAGCAACAATGAAATATTATCCTTTTATGAATGAACAATTGAATGTTGACAAGACAAATAATTCCAAACAACTACCAAGGGAATAATGAAAAAAAAACAACGACAAGGAGTTGTTTACACTCATGAGATCAGATCCAACCTATAGACAAGTTCTATTTGATTCCATGGACATTGTTAGTAGGCTTTCTACTGATGCACTCTACAAATAAATGACTCTTTGATATAGATTGAGCTTCACAGAATATACCACATTGGATCAACACTTAACTCCACTAAGTTAGTCTATCAGCAGTAAGAAACTTGTCTTGAAGCTGCAACTACATCATGAATTTAGCTGTAGGTCTATTTTAACAAAGTATGTTATCCCTTTCATTACCATTTGATCTTTATTGAACAAACTCACTCAAACAAACAGGGACTTGCTAGGAAAATAAGGCATAATGGCACAGAGCTCGACCAGCAAATACCAACTAATTTCGAAAGAAACAAATCATGCTACTACACAAGCTTCTACTGAATCCTGTTTAAGAAGTTCACTGATAGCATAGGATAACTTCGGCATACTGGAATACCGAACACTCCCTAATCCCCTCAAACATGTTAAGCCACAAAGAGCACACATTATCAAGGATAACTTCGGCAATTTTAAACCAGCAGAACGTGCAAAAATGGTCGAGGGATCAGGGAAAGATGAAATCATTCAGTAATTCATGTCGAACATATTGAAACCAAGACAGAAGATACAAGCAAATTAACTTGAATATCAAAGCATATCATATGCAATAGAAGAAGCACGAGAGAAGCTCATCTTATGAAGCGATCGTTCCTTAATAATACAAACAAATACTCAATCACAGGAGTCCTTCTCCATCCTTAATTACTATGGTAATCACTTGGCAATACAGAATACCATGAGTGCATTTAGATCTGAATTTAAATTTGATCAAATCAAGACATAACATGATCAATTACAGGAAACTAACAAGCTAAAACAAAAAAAGAGCATATGATGCCACAATTCTCTTTAGTCCATTTATGGAATACTTCATCGAATATTGAAAGCAATCAACATATATTGCTATGCTAGCACGAGGATGCACAAATCCGATAGAAGAATCATATAAAATGAGTAATGAAATCATGATTTATCTGGAGTTCAATTCCTCCTAACTTAAAAAGAATGAGTTCATGAACAAGTGGAATCCAGTAGGAACCATACGCAATTAAATTCAACTGTGTATAAAATTGTGCTAACCTTTCCTCAATGTGTTAACAAACAAAAACCTCTGACAAGCCGGATAACACATNTTGAAAGCAATCAACATATATTGCTATGCTAGCACGAGGATGCACAAATCCGATAGAAGAATCATATAAAATGAGTAATGAAATCATGATTTATCTGGAGTTCAATTCCTCCTAACTTAAAAAGAATGAGTTCATGAACAAGTGGAATCCA